CCTCATAAAACAAGTTTGGAAGTTCTCCTTCCATTTCTATTTTTTGGAACAGTTTCAGAAGAATAGGTATTAATTTTTCTTGAAATGTTTGGTAGAATTCCCCTGGGAAGCCATCTGACCCTAGGCTCTTGTTTGTTGGGAGATTTTTGATTACTGCTTCAGTTTCCTTAGTGGTTATAGGTCTGTTCAGGTTTTCTGTTTCTTCCTGGTTCAGTTTTGGTAGTTGATACATCTCTAGGAATGCATCCATTTCTTCCAGGTTATCTAATTTGCTGGCATAGAGATGCTCATAATATGTTCTTATAATTGTTTGTATTTCTTTGGTGTTGGTTGTGATCTCTCCTCTTTCATTCATGATTTTATTTATTTGGGTCATTTCTCTTTTCTTTTCGATAAGTCTGGCCAGGGGTTTATCAGTCTTATTAATTCTTTCAAAGAACCAGCTCCTAGTTTCGTTGATCTGTTCTACTGTTCTTTTGGTTTCTGTTTCATTGATTTCTGCTCTGATCTTTATTCTTTTTCTTCTCCTGCTGGGTTAGCCTTTATTTGCTGTTCTTTCTCCAGCTCCTTTAGGTGTAGAGTTAGGTTGTGTATTTGAGACTTTTCTTGTTTCTTGAGAAAGGCTTGTATTGCTATATACTTTGCTCTTAGGACTGCTTTTGCTGCATCCCAAAGATTTTGAACAGTTGTGTTTTCATTTTCATTGGTTTCCATGAATTTTTTAAATTCTTCTTTAATTTCCTGGTTGACCCATTCATTCTTCAGTAGGATGCTCTTTAGCCTCCATGTATTTGAGTTCTTTCTGACTTTCCTCTTGTGATTGAGTTCTAGTTTCAAAGCATTGTGGTCTGAAAATATGCAGGGAATGATCCCAATCTTTTGGTACCAGTTGAGACCTGATTGATGACCTAGGATGTGATCTATTCTGGAGAATGTTCCATGAGCACTGGAGAAGAATGTGTATTCTGTTGCTTTGGGATGGAATGTTCTGAATATATCTGTGAAGTCCATTTGGTCCAGTGTATGTGTATCATTTAAAGTCTTTATTTCCTTGTTGATCTTTTGCTTAGATGATCTGTCCATTTCAGTGAGGTGGGTGTTAAATTCCCCTACTATTATTGTATTGTTGTCGATGTGTTTCTTTGCTTTTGTTATTAATTGGCTTATATAATTGTCTGCTCCCATGTTAGGGGCATAGATACTTACAATTGTTAGATCTTCTTGTTGGATAGACCCTTTAAGTATGATATAGTGTCCTTCCTCATCTCTTATTATAGTCTTTGGTTTAAAATCTAATTTGTCTGCTATAAGGATTGCCACCCCAGCTTTCTTCTGGTGTCCATTAGCATGGTAGATGGTTTTCCACCCCCTCACTTTCCATCTGGAGGTGTCTTTGGGTCTAAAATGAGTCTATTGCAGGCAGCATATCGATGGGTCTTGTTTTTTTATCCAATCTGATAGCCTGTGTCTTTTGATTGGGGCATTTAGCCCATTTACATTCAGGGTAACTATTGAAAGATAGGAATTTAGTACCATTGTATTGCCTGTAAGGTGACTGTTACTGTATATTGTTTGTGTTCCTTTCTGGTCTATGTTACTTTTAGGCTCTGTGCTTAGAGGACACCTTTAATATTTTTTGTAGGGCTGGTTTTGTGTTTGCAAATTCATTTAGTTTTTGTTTGTCCTGGAAGCTTTTTATCTCCTATTTTCAGTGACAGCCTAGCTGGATATAGTATTCTTGGCTGCATATTTTTCTCATTTAGTGCTCTGAATATATCGTGCCAGTCCTTTCTGGCCTGCCAGGTCTCGTGGATAGGTCTGTTGCCAGTCTAATGTTTCTACCATTGTAGGTTGCAGATCTCTCGTCCCTAGCTGCTTTCAGGATTTTCTCTTTGTGTCTGAGACTCGTAAGTTTTACTATTAGATGCCAGGATGTTGACCTATTTTTATTGATTTTGAGGGGGGGCTCTCTGTGCCTCCTGGATTTTGATGCCTGTTTCCTTCCCCAAATTAGGTATATTGGAGCTATAATATGCTCCAGTATACCTTCTGCCCCTCTCTCTCTTTCTTCTTCTTCTGTGATCCCAATTATTCTAATATTGTCTTATGGTATTGCTTATCTCTCAGATTCTGCCCTTGTGATCCAGTAGTTGTTTATCTCTCTTTTTCTCAGCTTCTTTATTTTCCATCATATGGTCTTTTATATCACTAATTCTGTCTTCTGCCTCATTTATCCTAGCCCTTAGAGCCTCCATTTTATTTATTTATTTATTTATTTTAAAGATTTTATTTATTTATTCATGAGAGACAGAGAGAGAGAGGCAGAGGGAGAAGCCGGCTCCCAAGGAGCAGGGAGCCCGATGTGGGACTTGATCCCAGGACTCTGGGATCATGACCTGAGCTGAAGGCAGACGCTTAACCATCTGAGCCACCCAGGTGCCCAGATCCTCCATTTTTGATTGCACCTCATTAATAGTCTTTTTGATTTCGACTTGGTTAGATTTTAGTTCTTTTATTTCTCCAGAAAGGGTTTCTCTAATATCTTCCATGCTTTTTTCAAGCCCAGCTAGTATCTTTATTATCATCGTTCTGAACTCTAGTTCCGACATCATACTAATGTCTGTATTGAGTAGGTCCCTGGCAGTCGGTACTGCCTCTTGTTCTTTTTTTTTTTAGTTGATTTTTTCCGTCTTGTCATTTTGTCCAGGGGAGAATAGATGAATGAGAGAACAAAATGCTAACAGGGTAACAACGACCCCAGAAAAATATACACTAAACAAATCAGAAGAGACCTTCCAGAAAGTGGTCGCTTTTGTGTTCAGAGAGTTGCTTGCTATTCTTTTCTTCAATCTCCTGTTGAGTTTGTAGGTGTTCAGAATGGTTTGATCCCTATCTACTCAATTCCTGGGACCAGACGAAATTTAGGTCTCCTACTCCTCCGCCATCTTGCTCCTCCAGCATTACTGTTTTATTTTGTAGATGTCTTACTTATTCAGTCCCCAAGTGGATGTTTAGATTATCTTCACATTTTTAATATTATGTATAATAGCCTTGTTACATATATCTTTTATCTACTTTTTTCAGGATAAATTCCTAGAAGTGGAACTGTTGGATCAGTGGGTTTACATTTTTTTTTAAGGTTTTGATGCATATCAACAAACTTGAAAGGATTGTAGCAGTTTGTACTAGGACATTAGTAGGACCAAAGTGTGTTGATTTCCTCTGCTATTGCCAGCTTGGGTATTTTCCTGTTTTTTCAACCTTTCCCAGTTTTCACATCAATAAGTAGTATCTTACTGCTTTTAAATTTGTTTGATTATTAAGGAAATTGAACATCTGTTCACATGGTTACTGACCATTTGTATTTTTTGTTTTGCCTGTTCAGGTCTTTTGCCCATTTTCTCTCCTGGAGTATTTTTCTTTTTTTTAGTGGTTTCTAGGAGCTCCTTATGTATCAAGTATAATAAACCCATTTTGACATCTGAGTTGCAAATGTTTCAGTCTTTTGTCATTTAAATATGATTTTTTTTTTTTGCTTAGCAGATATTTACACATACATCTTTCCCTACCCTGCCTCCTTTAGAGCTTTTTAGCACTCTGCATTTATAAAAGCATTTACCTTTATTTTTTTCAATCCTTTAAGCACTTTTTTTTAAAGATTTTTTTTATTTTAGAGCGAGAAAGAGCATGCACTCAAGTGAGCAGGGAGAGGGGGAGGGAGAGAGAGAATCTCAAGCAGACTCAGCTCACAACCGTGAGACCATGACCTGAGCTGAAACCAAGAGTCAGATGCTTAACTGAGTGAGCCACCCAGGCACCCCTCCTTTAAGCACCTTTAATGTTCTAATATATTTGAAACTTACTTTGACATATGTAAAATAATAGGAAAACTGTATTGGTCTCTGCTCCCAGTTCCTGGCACAGAGCTCCTAAAACCCGTGTAATTTCCTAAGTGATAAGAGCACAAGGAGCATCTTTTGTTCTAATATTTGGTCTAATATTTCCTGACATAAAAGCTCCTAAATCTCTTGGAATTTTCTGGGTGATAGGAGAACATTATTTCTTAGTGGGCTTCTGGATGGGGGCTGGTCACCAGAAAGACCAAGTGGTGATTAGAAACTTGGAATTTTTAGCTCCACCCCTCATTTTCCAGAGAGGGGCTGGAAAGTTAATAATTGATCATGCCTACATGATGAAGCCTCCATAAAAGTACCAACAGTGTGGGGTTTGGAGAGCTTCCAGATTGCCCCCCCATGTGGAGGTGCTGGGAGAGTGGCAGACTTGGAGAGGACATGGAAGCTCTGCAGCCCTCCAGCCCTTCCCACACACCTTGTCCTACAGATCTCTTCCATCTGGGGTTTCATCTCTCTGTACTTTACCGTATCCTGCCATAATAAGCTGGTAAACAGGAAACTTTTCCTGAGGTCTGTGAGCTTCTCTAGCAAATTAATTGAACCTAAGTGGGAGCTGATTGGTGAGAAGCACAGGTAACAGCCTGGACTTGCAATTGGCATCTGATGCTACCTCCAGGTAGAGTGTCAGAATGAGTTAAATTGTAGGACACTCAGCTAGAGTCGCAGAATTGCTTGGTGTGGGAAAAGCCAACACACATCTGGTGTCACAGGTGTTGTAAGTATGGTAGTAGTGTGACAGGAAAAGACCGACACAGGAGAAGGGTCCGTTTTCTACACAGTATATGTTCCAAGGTAAGGTTCTTTTATTTCTATTCTTCAGTTAGTTAACCAAATAATCCAGTGTGAGGCATTTCTTTCCTCACTGAATTGAAATGCTGTTATCACATACTAAATAACCAAGTAGACTTGAGTCTCTTTCTGGTCTTGCCATTCTGCTGTATGTATCTTTCTGTTTGGCTTGTCTAGGTATCTCACTAGTCTAAATATTGTTGTTTTATAGAGCATTACAAGTAGGCAGTCCATTTGTTTTTTACCTTTAGCCTACGTAAAATGATAACTAAGGAGACAAATACGAATTCTGCCTAGATGTGAGTTTTGTAACTGGCTCCCATGTTGGAGAAATGATCATCTGGGATATCCTGGACTGGACTGTGCAAGCCTGTGAATGCAGCTTCTGGGACCCATCTCCACAGCTGGACACCCAGCAAGAAATAAAACTCTGCCAAAAACCAGATGACATTTCTATTCATCATTTAACATGGGATGAAGAGGTAAAAAAACCTGAGAAAATATCTGTAAACTGGCTTTTTTAATAAACCCAGTTTCTAATTTTTTTAACTTAATCTCTTGATGGATATAGAAAGGTATCATTCCCAATGTTCAGGTTATGCTTTAAAATGTTCTTCAAAGATTGCACACCTTGCATTAAAAAAGCATTTTAATCTTAGCTCCTTTCTGTGAGGCAAGAAGTGATTAAATGTCCATAGATTTAAAAACACTTCTGAAATTTTTGGTTGGATTAAATAATCCCATAGGATTTGAGGATAAGCCTTAAAATGGGCTTTGAGAAACACTTTGGGAAAGGATCTTTTGAAGATGCTTGTGCATTTCCTGCAGAGGTAAAGGAAATTAAAAATTTTAGGAATGTTTTTCTCTTAGCCTACTAGCATCCTGGGGCAAGATGATTTGTGTGAGAATTACTAAATTCATTCCTTTAGGCCTTGGTGGTGATGCTATTGAAACACTTTACATCTTTTTTACCAACAGATTACTGAATGTTGGCCCTGATCTGTACATTTCTTCTTCTGCCTTCAAAGGCTTAGAAAATGTGTGCAAAGGGGGCTTACTTCTCTAAATGTAATCAGAAGAAATGTTTAAGAGTTGTAACCCTTGAGTTACAAAGGGGGGAGGCTTTTTTTTTTCACTTTATTTTGTGCCTTTCTATACTGTTTACCTTTTATAATCATATGCATTTTTTTTTAAAGTTTATTTAAGTAATCTCTGCATCCAGCGTGGGGCTTGAAGTCACAACCCCCAAGATCAAGAGTCACATGCTCCTCCAACTGAGCCAGCCAGGCACTCTGCTTGTTATTTTTATTTTAAAAAACTCAGTGATAGTGTTATGGATGGGGAGAGAATGGTCCATTTTTTGTTTTCTGTGCACTTCTTTTACTTTAAAAACAAAAGCAAAACAGAACACTAACATGCCCAAAGATTTTTTTTAAGATTGATTTATTTATTTAGAGAGAGTGAGCTTGGGGAGGGGAGGAGCAGAGGGGGAGAGAGTATCCTGAAACAAACTTCCTGCTGAGTGGGGAGCCCAACATGGGCCCCATGCCAGGACCCTGAGATCATGACCTGAACTGAAATCAGGAGTCGGCTGCCTAATAATCAACTGAGCCACCCAGGTGCCCCCCAAAATTGTTTTTTTAAATCCATGCTTTATTTTGGAAAAAAAAATTAATACATATGATAAACATGTTAGGGTCTCAGAAAAGATGGAAACCACATTTCTAAGAGTTGTGGCCTTAAAAATTATATTTTTTTCATTTGATAACCTCTTGTTTATAAAAATTAGTGTTTAAGGTTTTTCATTTTGTATTTTTAATCTCAAAAGTTCTGATTAATGCTTATTAACTGCTATAAATGCTTAATAAAGCATTACTCAGTTTACCCTAGTATTTCTTCTTTATAGGAGGTTGGTTCTTTCTACAGGGAGCCTTTTTTTTTTTTTTTTTTTTTTAAGATTTTATTTATTTATTTGAGAGAAGAGTGAGCAAGAGCTGAGGGGAGGAACAGAGGGAGATCTCGGGAGAAGCAGACTCCCCACTGAGCAGGGATGTGGGGCTCCATCCCAGGACCCTGGGATCATGACCTGAGCTGAAGGCAGATGCTTAACTGACTGAACCACCCCGGTGCCCAGAGGGGCCATTAATTATTGATGATAGGTGACTGATGCAGTGACTCTGTTGAGTAATAGCTATCCAAGAGCTCATTAACTCTCTAGTTGTGTTTATAATTTTCTTTGTGACCTTTGGTAAATCACTTAAACTCTGCACAGATTTCTTGGTTTGTAGAACTAGTTTTGGGGCTTTCTTTGCATTTGAATTGCTACCCATAGGGCTCTAGACTTTAGCAAGTTGGCCAGCTTTTATCAATGTCCCTGACACTGGTCCTCAGCTCATCTTGCTAAATGCAGAGTACCAATCCCTAGGGCCAAGGGGATCATTCCAGATTTAGAGTTGGGTTTGTCGCCTTTGAGGCTGCATGAGAAGACTTTTTTGGTATAAAACAGGGAGGCAATGTAGGGGTTTTGAAAGGGCTGCCTTACTGGGGTACCTGTTGCATAAGAAAGTGATTCTTAGGTGAGTGCTACCGAAGTCTAGCGATGTGCAGAATAATTTCAGAAGCTAGGTGGTGTGGTGTGAGGCAAGAACAAGGGACTGGAGTAACATGACCTTGATTCTAATATCCGCTCCATGTCTTAACTTTCTGAGTGACTTCAATCTTCTTTTAAAATTTTAACGGGCTTATCTGGAAAATGGCAATAGTACTTGCTTTCCCTACCTTAAAGAGATGTTGTGAGGCTGTCATAAGATAAATATTGGTGAAAGTATCTTCAGAAAGTTAAAGTTGTTTTAGTAAAAAGGTATTTGTTGTAATACATTTGGAAAAATGTTTTTGCAAATCCTTCAGAGGATCTTAAGACGATAGTGTCCGTACAGCATATGCTTTTTTGTGTCCTTTATAGGTCTCTTGCATGCTTAAGATGTGCGGTACAGGTAATTTTGCTCGCATTGTCCAGGCAGAAGCAGCTAAGTACCTTCCCAAGGATAGAGCGTTACGTGAATGAACACCTAGGTAGTACCTCAGCAGCCTCCGCTGTAGGGCCATTCTGCAGCTGTAGTCGCTCTCTCGAGTTGTCGTATTTTAGTGAGGGAAGAAGGTGATGTTAAGGGGTGTGATATGCAGAACTTCCTTGTCCTTCTACCTTTTAAATGCTCTGAGCTTTCCTTTGCACTTCAGGGGGCAGTACAGTAGGTAGGACTAAGAGCTAGGAATAGGGAAGGTAACAGTGGCTTTCTGATGGTATAGCCGGGCTGGAAATCTGTTATACTGTGTAGTGGTAAGTACTAATTTTATTCCCATTTCTGAACTTTTCCCCCCACCAGAATGTATTTGCTGCAGTCGGAAGGGGTTTATACGTGTATAACCTTCACATGAAGCGTGTGATTGCTTGCCAGAAAAGTGCCCATGACTCTAATGTCCTGCACATTGCCAAACTTCCGAACAGGTACATGGTCCCGTCTGTTCTACAACAAATGAAAGAAATTCACATTTCCTAGCGCCACCAAGGTAATTTCTTAAGTGGCAAAGCTCATCTGGCTCCCTGGTTTGACCTGGTAGGTTCTTTTGGAAATGGACAATACCCATGGCTGTCTCTAACAGAAGAGTTTGTGGCAAAATGTTACAACATTTACAAGAAGCTGCGTTCAAATGAATTACATTGAATTTGATGATAGGAAGAGATAACGTTAAAATTTGGTATTTATTTAAAAAGACAAAGACTTCTGGGCACTATGTGCTCATTTTTCTTCTTATATTTTCCAGAAACTCATATGTTCATTGTAGTTGTTGATGGCCAGAAAGAAATGGTCATCTCCTTGTGTGAGGCTACTAAGCGAGGGCTTTCCTGTCAGGATAAATTTGGCTGCTGAGTTTCTAGGGATGAAATTACAGGAAGGGAATACTATTTTCTGTGCAGGATACTGTTAGTGTTAGAGCTGCCCTGAGAAGAGATACTGTGAGAGGAGGGAAGGGGGGACAGGTCAGGATATTTTGAAAGTGTAATTCATACAGTTTTCGTAAATGTGTTTTACAAAATGGGATGAAGTATTTATCACATTTGAGCCAGTTTAACAGTGTAATGGGTGCCCTTCCCGAAGAGTGCTTTTACTTTGCATTGTAAAGCCATGTTAAATTATGATTTTTATCAGCTCCTGCCCAGAACTGAAGAGAAGCGGTTGAGGGCTCCACTGATTTCTTTCGCTGCAAATTTCGCATTGGCCCTCCATGGCACATTCTCTTTTTATTACTGATTTTCTGTTCTGACAGGCAGTTAATCTCATGCTCGGAAGACGGCAGTGTACGCATTTGGGAGTTAAGAGAAAAACAGCAGCTTGCAGCTGAACCTGTACCAACAGGTGTGTGTCTTTTCTCCTATGAAAGGCAGAAGGCGCATGTTCACATGAAGCATATGCTAGTCGGGATCTCGGATCATATCTTAATATTGCTCTAATGTAGAACTGCCTGGTTTTCTTCATCTCAACTAGTATTTTATTGTTTTAAGGGAAACTGTCATTTCTGAACAAATGGCCCATTGACATAATTATTCATTTTATATTGTCCAGCATAATGCTTGATACACAACGAGGATTTGTACCATCAGATACCAAATTCAAGTGTTCTTTCAGCCTGGAAGCATTAATATTGAACTCAGTTTATGGAAAAAAAACACTTTTGTGTTTATATCGTAATCTCATGAGCTCTTGACCTGCAGGTGTTTGCTCTGAAAAACAAAATCCTGGTTCATTAGCAACCTTTGCCTAAGAAATCAGATGCTGCTACCTCTGGAGTTCTTTCTGGTCATGTGACATGCTAGGATATTGTTTTTGGACACACGTTGCTTTTCATCTATGCTTTGTTGATAGATCTGTGTTGTGGCTTTTTTTTTTGGACACTCACATTCAAGGCCTTTTACTGCTCTCTTTTATTCCCAGTGCCTTTTTGTCATGTTAATACACCTTTACCAGTGGGTGAGTAGGGCCAATAAAAGAGATGAGCAGCAAACCTGGTAGTTAAGATGAAATAACAGATTTACAAAAACCCTAGCTTAGTGTTTCATACCATCCCCTTAGCCCTTGACTAAAGTACAGAACATCTTCGCATTTAAATTTTCTGTTTTTCTGATCTTTAAGTAAAGAGTACAGTAATTTTGGAAATGACCGAAATGATTTTGTTTTTCTAGGTTTTTTTAACATGTGGGGATTTGGAAGAGTGAACAAGCAAGCCAGCCAACCTGTTAAAAAGCAACAAGAAAATTCTCCTCCATGCTCATTGGAGCTTATTGGAGATTTGATTGGACACTCCTCATCTGTGGAGGTATTTTTAATAAGCATGTAAAGGTTTAGGGCATTCATAAAGTCCTGTACTTTTTTTTTTTTCCGTATGTTTTTGCTGAATCTAAACATGGATAGGTTATAGTATGTACAATTAAGATCTCCCTTTACAGAGACACGAAGTGAGGAAGCAAGGAATGTGTTGCTTCTAAAAATGGGCTTAATCACCATTATTTATGAGATGGAGACATCGAGAATCAGATGATATGAATCATGTTGAATACCTAACAGTAGCAGAGGGTGCATGGAGGGTTGGGTTATATGTAGAGTTAAAGCCTTGCAGAATGGAATTCAAGGGGCCTTTATCACATTCATGAACAGAGTACTGTTTTTACCTCCTTTTGAAGGATCATATTTTGTTAGCTTTCCTAAGACTTAGGGTCTTGGTTATTGTTGTGCATATATGAAAATACTAGTTGAGAATTGTAAGATGTATACAATTCTACCTTGTGGAAATCCAAATACATTAATATTTACTATATGCACCATTGTTGATAATGAAAGGGAGAGGATTGGAACTGGTAGTAGTATAAGCAGGGCCCTAAGTAATGAATTTCTTAAATTGTTCTTCCCTGTTTCCCAGCCAGGGAGGAACAAATTACTTTTCATTTGAATGTGCATTCATGCTTCAGGGCAGCTGCAGTGCACTTAGCAATCACTGCTTCTGTTTTAGGCAGTATACTAGACACTGGAGTTTACGAAGATACAGGTCATACAGTCCTTGCCCTCCTAGGTCTTCTAGAGGGGAAGGATACAGCCCAAATAAGTTGTTAACCTAAGCCGCTCAGGCAGGCCCAGATGACTGTAGACAGCGAGTGCTCAGGAATTAGAAGGTTGGGGAGGGTTAACATACATAGCCTTGTGACCCTGAGTTCCCTAATGTTGGGTATTGGGTCTTATTTATCTTTGCTTTCCTCTAACACGTAGCGCAGTTGTTTTCCTTTTGTTCTGCTTTTTAACTTTGCTTTCGCTTAGGTGGCTGTTGTGTAGTTTGGGATTGGGGAGAACAGAATGTGGTAGAAGTGCAAAGATTGCATCTCCGTGGTGGCACGAGCAGACTGGGTGGGTTGGAGCAGTGGTTTTCTGTGAACAGACACTAGTAGGAGATAAAGCCTGAGAAAGTAGTTTTGCATCAGATTAATTTTGGCTTTATTTTTAAAATAGTAGGTACCCACTAAAGGTTTTTAAATGGTGGGGGTAGGGGCGCCTGGGTGGCTCGGTTGGTTAAACGTCTGCCTTTCGCTCAGGTCATGATCTCAGAGTCCTGGGATCGAGTCCTGCATCGGGCTCACTGCTCAGCAGGGAGTCTCCCTCTGTGCTCTCTCTCAAGTAAATTAATAAAATCTTTTTTAAAAAAATAAATGGGGTAACCTTCAGAGTGGCATATTTGCCATAATGTAGACCTGAGGAATTTTCCTGAAAGTGTTGACATTGAAGTTTTTTTTAAATATCTCTGGCTTCTTTGAGAAAAATCTCGGCTCCCTTTTAGGTGCTACCTCCTGAACTTCTTCATTCCTTTTATGTTTTTACCCTTACTCTCTAGCCAACCCTGTTACCTGTAGTATTTTGCTCCCCTCCTTCCCCCTCTTCACTTACAGATCATCAGCTGAGGCCTTATCCTGCTTTGTTCAGAATTGTTATTTCAGAGAGAACTCCCATCCTGCTCTTTGATGTTGTATTTCTCTCCTTCGTTTTACTCTCGCCTTCGCCAGGCTCTGCTCTCTACTGCAGAGGTAGCTCTGCTGCCTTTTCGTGAACACTTTTTTTTTTATTCTTCTCTTCCAGCCTATTTCTTCACCAGGCATGACCTTCCCTTCATTTCGGAAGTTTTAGGTTTTTGAAGCTTTGACAGTTTCAGTGGTTACTGATCCTAGATCCTCTCTTTCTGTGGCAAATCCTAGTGTGAACTACATTTTTTAGTACCTGGTTACATAGTCTTTGTTTCAACTATGATGTGGTTTTCACAACTGAACTAGAACCTTCTTCATGGTAGGGACCATAGCATATAGATGGCATTCTGTAAATGCTTATGGATTAGAGAGCTCAAGCCAGTGTTTATCTTGCAGAATTAGGAGTTTCGACATTTTACTGGTAGCCATTTGTCCATAAATAATGAGGGAGGTATAATTGATGAAGCAGTTCTGGGAGGACTTCTGACATAATCTTAAAACAAATACCTGAAGAATTAGATTATAGTAAAACTGAAGAAGATGCTGTGGGAATTCACAAAGATAGGTATTGTAGTTCTGATTATTAAAATACAAGATAATGCTAGGTCTAGCATTACACAACTTGTCCTGAAAAATGAGTTTTATATTCAGATTCAAATAAGTCTGCAAGTTAAACTATCTTACAAGCATATGTTAGTCTCGCCTTTTCTCTTTGAAGTTCCTATAATCAGGTGGCTTTAAATTTCTTTACAGATGTTTCTGTACTTTGAAGATCATGGACTAGTGACATGCTCTGCTGACCATCTCATTATTTTGTGGAAAAATGGAGAAAGAGAATCTGGATTGCGCAGTTTAAAATTATTTCAAAAGTTAGAGGAGAATGGTGACTTATATCTTGCTGTCTAGTTGAAGGAATTTGGAACACATGTGCATGAACCTTGAACATCAAATATAGGGTAATACTCAAATTTGTAATGTATTATTTTTTTAAAGAGTTTAAGTAATCTCCACCCCCAGTGAGGGGCTCATACTCACAACCCCCAGATCAAGAGTTGCAAGTTGTTTCTCAGGTATTAACATTCACAAGAGAATACACTGCAAGTTTTTTGTTTGACTTTTCACAGCAGTAACCTGAAACCACTGAGGAAATGGGTCTAATTTCAGCAGTGAATTTTCAGAAAGTATTCAGATCAGAGCACAAATACTGGTAAAGAATTTTAGCCTAGTGTCCGTATAGAAAAATTTTTTTAAATAACACTTAAATTTTATGAGCTTATGTTTAATGAAAAAAGTGCTCAGAACCTCTCACTTGATTTAGTATAATTTCGTTGCCTCTAATTACATTCTTACTCATCACGAAAATTTTTTAAAAAGTTACATGTACTTTCATTTAGGCCTTTCTGAATTTTGAAGTACCTGGCTTTATTCTCAAAATGAGTATTTTAACTATACCTGTTTTTAAAAAACTTATGAGCCTACTTTAAAAAATATAATAATTATAGAAGATATTTTGGGATAAAAATGAAAAATCCACTGAAAAACAGGTAGGACGTAGCACGTCTTGAATTTACACCTTGAGACCTCCAGGAGATTGTGTTGCTGCTCGAGGGGTGCGTGCTGGGTTTGAGCTGCTTCATTTGAACCTAGACCCGGTGAAGAGGTGGAAATAGAACAGCATAACTGTGGCATTCGTTAGAAGTTTTATTTTGTTCTTTGGTTTTCCTTAGAGCCTGTTGGATTAAGAATCTGTGTGATAAATATATCCTACCTCCTACAGATTCCCTGGTCTTTAGTAACTAATTAAGAATGTTCTATGAGCAAACTTGAGTCTTACACTGTTTAATTCCAACTTTTTTTGTTGGTGGTGCCAAGTAATTTGTTTAAATGCTTTTGTTGTGTTTTAGTTTAGCTTTACAATTCCTATAAACTCATCAATAGGAATCTTACCAGGGTGTATTTTTTGCCCCCATGTGAATTGGCCGAATAGCGATTAGCTAGATTGGGACCGGACCAGCACCTAGCCCTCATATATGCCAGGGATGAGAGCTAGATCAGTAAAGAGGTACGGTGTTTCCCAAGTCAGAGGCTGGAGCCACAAGTACCTGATTGATCTTACCGTTTCTCCAATATGAAATACTTGAGAAAGGCTTCATTTGTGTAGTTACTTGCTGTGACCACTCAGATTTAATCCTCTTTATCACCCTACCAGCCTTAGAACAGAATATTCCTTCTCCCCTTTGGTACTAAAGAATAAAAATTAAAAAAGAAAGTGGAGTTATTCTTAAAGTGCTGATCAAAGAATCCTGTTATGATGTTGGAAGACTGATCCTTCTCCTTTGCTCTCTGCCGATTCACCTGTTCATCCCACTCATCTCTAATGGAATTTTTACAAATTGTTTTTACTAGTTTTCTCTTTGACCATTGCTTCCACAACTACCTCCAGACTGGAAGAGCTAAGGTCATCTATGCCAGACCGATGCCCTAATGTTAGGAATGAGGAAACTGAGGCCCAGGCAGGTAAGGCCTTGCAATTAGCCCTATTCCATCAGATTGTTGATCACTTTAGTTAGGTATCTCTGAGTCATTTTCAGGCTTTAAAATTTTACTCAATAGCTGGACTTTCTTCTGTTACCAGCTAGCTTTTTCTTTGTTCAAGTTGTTTTCTTGAGTTGTCGAATACCTCTTCCATGAACCATACAAGGAATTCATAGATTTTTAACTGTTTTATTTCCTAACAGTTTTTGGGTTAGTAATCTATTCCCACGGAGTGACAGAAACTATAGGTGAGTTTTGGGAGCAACCAGTACTAATCCTCTTATCTGTCTGGAGGGAAGCCCCCCACTTAGGAAGATGGGAGCTTCTACGAGGGCTCAGACTTGATGGCTGCTCAGTAGTTGTATGTAGACTGCTGCTAGAAGTTGACCTTGAAGCACCCCAAGTAACACTATGTAGTGGGCCTTGTCATTTTTATTTAAAAATCCCCTATTACCTCCCTCTCTGGCTGTCTTCACATAATACAAGCAAGAGCCTAAGTTTCAGGGGCACTGTATCTTTCCTTTCTCAGCCGGAGGCTTGTTGTTTGCCCCCAAGACTAACCAGTCCTGACTTAGGAAGCAAATTTGAAAATCTAAAATTGGAAGTAAATAATGACTTCGAATTATAAAACATTGTTACCGCTACAAGAATGACCTTATAACTAACTTCTAGTGAAGTAGTAGTCTTAATGTGACTTCTACCTATATTAGAGTGCATTCTTCTCAATCAGTAGGGGGTCCCTTCAACACAGAATGTTTTAGTAAACAACTAAGTATAAAGAGGCATTTATAATAGTTTATACCTGCTGAAAGACTATATGGGAGAAGGCAATATTTAGTTAGCAATTCAGAGGATTACACACTGATTAAGATCATAGCTGTGCTAAAGATTTGGTATCTGGCAGTCTTAAAGCCTTTAAGTTCTTATGAAATTAATTTGACATTACAGGGAGTAAGCTGTAACATTCTTACAGAAAAAATGTTACTTACCCAATGGAACTGAAAGCGACAGGGCAAGGTAAAGATTGTCCTTGTCTGGAGCAAGCTTCTGAAGCCTAGGCAAGTTATTTAGTTCTTTAAAATGGGATTTTGACATCCTGACTTTAATGTGTCTGAAAGTAAAGTGTGGGACTCATGAAATAAAGAAGGACAGTAAAGCGAAATTTTGAAATAATGAAAAGTTTAGGCCAAAGAGATAAAATAAAAACAGCTGTTGGGAATGAAAAATGGCTGTAGGAATTTAGTTACAAGTACTTCACAAAAACATTTTCATCACATTTACATAGTGCAGCATTACAACACAAAGCTAGCTGCTGTCCTGACCAAGCACATTCGCTTTTCTAACAAAAATAATTTAGATACATTTCTTTACGTGGAATTGTCATATATGATTTCATTTTTTGGTACAAAACATAGAAAAAAAACATTGGCACATTATGTAGTAATAAGTTATTTTTTTCTTCCCATGTACTGGTTTCAAGTGTTCTACATTCCAATTTTCATTTGAAAAAAGTAACTACTATTCAACTAATTCAGCCTCTGTTTATACCTCTTAAAAATGCAGCAGGGAGTACAGAGGATTTGAAAAGGAAGATACTTTGTTTACTGAGTTTGATATTTACAACACAAAGAGGAGGGTTGTTTGGTAAAAGAGAAAGGAAAATCTCAAGTCTGACTTCATGTAGATCACAGAAAGTTTTCAAAAGAGCTGTATAAAAATATGCACTTGTGCTTTAGAAGCTTTTAGCATACAGTTAAGAGCATAAAATAGTATTTACTGCCTCCCCTTATGCCTATTTTCTGATCTATTTACACATCTTGCAGTCTTGTCTTTTTTACATCGTTAAAGCAAAGTGGCAAGGTCTCAAATATAGATAGGTTACAAACATCTGAACCTTGAAACTGCCCCATCCCTCCCCCAAATATATATGTATAGATGGTACACGGCACAACCTACTCCATGGACTGACTTACACCCAGTAAATTTAGAGTGCTTTAATAAAAATTTTAAACAGCAAACGTATATAAATTTTTTTTTTTTTAAAGCTTATCCAAGGGCATTCAAATTTAATGGCTTTTATATACTCACCATAGTGCCTTGTGACTGCCTCTGTAAACCAGGAATAAGGGAAGCTCTTGGATTCCACCCCCCAAACAAGGTGTCAGTCCCTTGCCCATCATGAAGGGCTTTGTGTTAGGCTGAATTCCTCTTCTAGGAAGGAGGGCCACACAGCCACAAAGGTGCTGCTACCGGTCTACAGCAGGCACTCACCAGGCCAAGGCAGTGGTTGGCCTTGGGTGTCACTCCGCTGAGCAAAGGAACTGCTTAGCCATAGAGGCGGTGAAACTAACTCGTTTATCAGTAATTTGGTCCTAGTTGTTTTGCTCATTTTTTTCCTTACGTATTATGAATTCTTCAGCCTGAGACTCTTGAGGAAAATAGTCAAGCTAAACAGTGACGGTGACTTTTATGGTAAGAGACGAGCTGAACACTAGCTAAGCTACTTTGTCATCCAGCAAGATGGGCTCACAGGCACCAAGTCTTTGCTGCGTGTGTCCTGCTAGTTATAGTAAATGAGCTCCATGGTTTGATGAGGACAGACAGGGTGACAACAGGACGAAGGATTTTGCCCTGTGTTTATTCTGTCACTTCAGTGTTCAAAAGAACATGTATTTTTCTTCATGGAATGTAACTTTCTAAAAATGCAGTTTGGGGACTTGGATGATTCAGAGTCCAATATTAAACACCATCTCTTTGGGGCGCCTGGGTGGCTCAGTCATTAAGCGTCTGCCTTCGGCTCAGGTCATGATCCCAGGGTCCTGGGATCAAGCCCCGCATCGGGCTCCCTGCTGAGCGGGGAGCCCGCTTCTCCCTCTCCCTCACTCCCCCTGCTTGTGTTCCTGCTCTCGCTATCTCTCTCTCTCTGTCAAATAAATGAATAAAGTCTTTAAAAAACAACAACAAAAAAACCCACCATCTCTTTCACCTACACCTGTCCTTTTCACTAGAAAGGAATGCCTCTTATTTACATGACTGTGATTCACAGTGCCCTTTGCAGATCACGAGGTCCCCTTCTGTCTTGGCTCTAGCTGTCAGATGGAAGCCTCAGACTTTTGCACTTGAGGTCATCTAATGTCTTCCAGTGTTTGTAGTTATCAGCCAGATGTTGCATCAGGCCTGGCAGATGGGCAAAGGCTGCAAGAACATTAAAGGATCACAAGTTAGGTGGCCGGAACATGTGCGAGACTGGGGCTCTGTGGGACAGATTGGGGCTCAGAAGTGGAAGAGAGGTACCGCAGTGCACACACCAGCGTGAGAAGTAAGTTGTTAACACTAGCTTCTGAAATACAAACAGGCCCTTGCAGTTAAAAATTGAAGCGCCACTTACCAGCAACATTACAGAATGGATTCAGTCTACTCTGAGCCACAGATTCGGTCAGTATTCTTTCTAGAGGTTCTCCAAGGACAGGCTAAAACTGTTGCAAGCTTTGGAAACCTAGGCTTCCCAGAGGTTAAGACTTGGTGCTGCAGTTTTCAAACATCCTTTGAGTTTTCAAGGTGCTGGGCATGCAGGGTGCACATGCGCCCCACCCCATCTGGCTCCAGACAGCCGACAGCTAACTTTTCACACACACACAACCAAAATTAACATTTCACTTACACCTTTAGGCCCAACTTGTGTCATTAACAAAATATTCTGTGTGTGGGGGGGGGTGACAGAACAACTTACCATCCCAAGCATCAAACATGTCTGTTATGAAGTAGTCAATGAAGGAGATTTGGGATTTGGGGATGCTGCAGGTGTTCCGGTCAAACACTGGCATCACCACAGGGAGCCCCTGTCTCTTCTCCTCATCAGTCTACAAGAAATGAGAACACACACGGGGCTGGGGCACCTGAGGAGCTGTCCCAGTAGCATCTCATTTCTCAGAACAACTCTGAACATGGGTCCTCATCCAATTGTAAGTATGAAGACATAGGTTCAGGAAGCTCCCGAGGCTTATGTAAGTCAACCACCTGATGAGCGGGGGTGACTAAAGGCAGGTCTTCTGACTCTGAAGTCTCTTGTATGATACCAGAGCCCCTCCTGAAGCACCGATCTCAGGATTTTTTTTTTTTTTAAAGATTTATTTATTTGACAGAGCGAGAGAAGGAACACAAGCAGGGGGAGTGGGAGAGGGAGAAGCAGGCTTCCCACTGAGCAGGGAGCCCGACGCGGGGCTCGATCCCAGGACCCCGGGATCATGACCTGAGCCGAAGGCAGATGCTTAACGACTGAGCCACCCAGGCGCCCCTGATCTCAGGATTCTTAACCCCTTTCTGGAGATGTTTCCAAAGTCCTACTAGTACCACCAAATGCTAACACAAATGGAATACTGCTCTTTACAGTGAGGGTGCAGAAGCAATGGCGGGGGTGTGAAAGGGCTTAGGCCTTAGCGTGAATCAAGGCACTGCCACCAAACTGTACCAGGAGTCACTGTATTCTTGACTATCACGTGCCTGAAGTTTAAAAAGCCAGTTCTACTTACCAATATCCTCATTAAAGCAGTAGGAATTATTAATACATTTTGACCTCTGAGTATATGTCCTTTTAAAATTCTCTGTTGTGACAAAATGGCAAGTACACTGAAGCCCTCACACTGCCTACCACAGTATAATGAGGTTGTCTGGAGGAAAAGCATTTATGCAGTTGAGCTGAAGCAGCCTCCTTGTTCTATTTTTACTTGAAAGAAGGACAAACTGTGGTTGTTCAGGTTTGGGTACTGGTCATGTGGCTCTCTCAAGGAGTGTGTCAGTCTGAGAATTTTGCACAGTAGAGTGTGTGTTTATTTGTGTAAGGCCAGCCTGTACTGAGCTGAATGTTAAGATCCCCATTTTCCTGATGGTGTGCTGAACCAGAGGCCAGCTGATCAGAGGCTTCGTTTCTGACTTTTGATTTTTAGGCCACAGTGCTTGTGAACATTAGTACATTCCTTTTTGGGAGAAGGACACCTGAACAAGAAACTTACATTAAATAACTTAAAAGTGCTTCTTTCCCATTCTCCATATCCGTACTTAGAGAATAATTACCAGTAGGATTTTAAGCCCTCTCTATGGGTCCTGGGAGGTCCATTAATGGCCTCCTACCAGCTTTTGGCTCAGCTTGCTCATTTCAGGTTAATCGATAAAGGCATCTTTAAAATCTCCACTATTGTTCAAGGAGTAGTTTGGATTTTTTACTCTTACCCCTTCTCTCTGGCAAGCTCAGAACTGCCTGTCCTACTTTCCTTCACTTCAGGAGCTCATCTTTCCGGCCTTGAAAGCTGCAGTTAACTTACTGAGTACTTGACTGGTCATGCCCCCGCCAGCCCTTCTGGACATGGTGAGCCATTCTTTACCCTGCCTTCATGGTACACTCAGCCACACTGGCCCTCCCACAGTGCAGGACTTGTAACTGTGTGTGTGTTTCTGTCTGTCACACACACGCACCTCAGCCCTAGAGCCTCTTCCCTGGAAGTAGGCCTGTATTTCAGAAGGCATCTTGTGGTCTACTAATTTCTGGATTTTTTTTCCTTCAACTCCTTCACACTGGCAAAATGAACTACATATTGCTACTTTCCTTATATAAAAATTCTATTTTTCTTCCTTACTAATTTTACACAGGATACTTTCTCCCCCAGAAAGTCCTTTCCTATTTCCATATATCTAAATCTTTTCAAAAAACAAAAACACTTTAATAATACCACTTCCCCAAAAGCTGCTTTTTTTCTAATCATCTAGGAAACATATCTGAACTCAGATAGCACTTAGCATACCTCCTTTAGAGATACTTCCTATTTTTAGCGATGTGTGGACCTATCTATGTCTACACCTCTCCCCTACAGTTTATGAGCTGCCCATGAGTGGGAGTGTGTCATGCTCCTATCTGTGTCCCCACAGGGCTCAGTGGAGAGAAGAATAACCTGGTAAGTGAATGGATGGTAGCCCAGTTTTTGTGAAAGTTCAGGATCTCACATTTTGATGATGAAACGATACTTCCAAAGGCTCAGTTTATCACCCTTTCTCCTAGAATGACTTTGGTCAGTGACCAGCCACATCAGTCACTCTTGGAAGGAACCAGAAGTCTACTGTGGGCCGGGGCTTTCCAGGGAGGATTCATTTATTAATTGATGGCTACTCGACTGGAAAATCTCCAGAGTTCCATGACCTGGAGCCATTTCCAGAAGAGAAGTGGAGCTTCCCTAGAGAGGTGGTGTACCTGTGCAAAATACTCCTCAGAGATCCTCCCAGCCCATTCGATGCACAGGTCCAGGGGGCGACAAGGGTTGGCTACATCAGCACACTTGATCATCATACGCTTGATCAGGATTTGGTTTTCAGGAAAGTTCTTCCCAGTAGGGTTGCATTCACAGTCACTGCCCTCAATCTGGAAAACATGGTCACATTAGGGTTAAAATGATGTTATGACCACAGGGACCAGACATGAGATGGTCAGCACCCAGGCCCATTTAGACGTGACTGGGACTCAAGTTTTCCCATCCTTAATTCCATATATAATACACTGACTTATCCTTGTACAAAAATAACCTCAGTCGAGACAAAAACAGTTTTTTTAAGATTTTATTTGACAGAGACACAGCGAGAGAGGGAACACAAGCAGGGATTATGGGTTATGGGTTATGTTCTGAAGGTTATGGGAACACAAGTAATAGGTTCTGAAGGTTATTCTTTTGATTACTTACCACTGGTAAAATACTGCTTACAGTAGACACTGTGGTAAATGATAAATCTCAACACAGAGCTGCTGGGAGCTTATTTTAATAGGTGAATTTCCTCAACTCTAAATTCTGTATAATTTTTCCCTCCTGAATCCCCAGATCCTTACCCCCTAAGTCAGTCTCCTAAAAAGAGAGGGCCCTGGCATTATGCTGTGGGACCCCTGGGGGATGAAGTAGAACAAGTGAGGTGGAACTGTCCATCTATGCTGGTCATGTGAAGGGTCCTACACAAACAGTCTCCTTACTGATCATCAAGTTACTTTTAAGACAACCGTTCATCATCCATCCACATACGCAACCTCTTCTCAATGGAAATGAGCATAAAGCTTTCCTAATTTTACAGGGCTATGAACAGCTTCATGGTTTCGGAGGTCAGTTGAACTCATTTTAAAACAACAGAGATGTGAACGTTCTGTGCATGTTTCTAAAACCCAAGTTTGGAAGGGCTTTAAGGCAGGACTAGGGTGTATCAGTAAATTTTAAAAAGGAAAAATGACATAAATGCTTTTGTTTTCAACTAGCACTCACAGTTTGACTCTATGGAGTCTTTAGGTACTGATGTTTTTAATGCAAGTCGGCAGAAATACAGTTCTTTAAAATATCCACTTTTTTTCTTAATACTACATTTCAGCTTCTATTTTATTTTTTTATTTTATTGAATTATTTTAATTCCAGTATAGTTAATATACAGTGTTGAATCACTATATTGTACACCTGAAACTAACAGTTGTATACATCACTCAAGTGTTCATCAGGGCAAGTGTGCTCTTTTATCCCCATCACCTATTTCCCCCCCTTCCTTTCATCCACATCCCCTCTGGTAACCACCAAGTTTGTTCCCTATAGTTAAGAGTGTTTCCTAGTTTGTCTCTCTTTTTTAAAATAGCCACTTTTGAGGTCTCAAATGACAGAAAATTAGAAAGGGCTTTGGATCCTCTAAAATACCCCCATTTAGGCTAGCCTCTGCTGTCTGCAGGCCTGTCTGTCTTACTCTTTGGGCCTACCACCTCCTGTCACCATGGGCCTTATCTCAGGACCTTTCTTTCAAGGAGTTCAGGGTTACTGTGGCCAGCACTTCCAGCCCTTCTTCACCAACTCCGAGCAGATAACCACCTTGTATTCAGGATGAAGAGAAAGTGTGTTGAGGCCAGAGTAGCCTCTAATGGAAATAATACTCGGATGTATCTTATCACAGGGGAAATGCTTACCTCAGCTGCCATTGGCTTATTGATGCTGTTCACAAATTTGTTCACATGTTCAAAGTGTTTGGTCATCTCTGTTGCTAAAACCATGTCAATAATAGCCTGGCGCAGTGTTCGATAATGGGTCCTAAAATAACCAGAAGACAAAGAGCCTTGTTCATATCAGGTCCAGAATGAGAACTGTTCTGCTACCATTTCACCACACTTCCACAGTGTGGGAGGAAGCTGGGGGCACGGAGTTGAGAACTGAGTGCAGATCATCAAGTTTACCTGCTCCTCTTCCCAGTAAGCCAGGACCTGTTGACGCCATTCCATGGGCCCCAGTACAGCTGACCCTTGTAGGACACGTGTGTGTGTATGTGTGTGTGTGTGTGTGTGAGAGAGAGAGAGGTCACATAGTAGGCACTTATTTTACAAAGTAGTTTCCTTCTACCTTCCCTTGGCAACACAGAAACAGCCAGGTGGAAGGAAATGACAAGTTCCTGCCCGGCAAGACTGGTGACTCAGACACAGAGATTTCTGTTACAGAGACTTGTCTGTACTCCTTTAGCTGGTGGCATTGGAATAATGTTTTCCCATGAATAAGTGATTCTCTAAGTTAGATAGAAGGGGCAATGCATGGAGCAACAAACCTACCCAAAATTACTCTCCAGTTCCTATCGTCTTTTTCTAACTTCCAGGAGCCAGAACGGAGAGCTGAGTAAAATTGGCTCTTGGAGAAAATTCTTTCAGTGAAAGTTCTAAAAACAGTCCCTGACACTGATGAAACGTTCTGAAGGTGGAATAACTGGTCTCCATGTTTTCTCAGATTTCTGGAAACTAAAGAGTTAGGTTCCTGTTGACGCATTGTCCCTGAGGCCAGAGTGAGCTCTGTGCTCTGTGCATGCTTGGCCCTCCAGAAGTCTGCTGCTCTGCGGGAACTGGCCGTAGCCTGACTGCAGGGTTAGGGCAGCTGACAGGAATTGCTCCTGTCTGTTCCCAGCTGTCCCACTCTGCCCAGATGGGAGTACAACGGCCAGGAGGGGGGAAGCCTGTCCAACCCTTTGGGCTCTAACAACTCTGCTGGGACCTGTCGAACAACACTATCTCCTCATGTGTTACGTTTTTAAGGGGCAAACGTTGAACTGGGGAAAGATGAGGAAGGATGCATCTTCCTTGAGTTAACAAAAGGAGGGATGTCCTCCTGGGAGGGTAAAAATATCCATGAACCCACTGAAAACCAAATGAAATTCAGAAAGATGAAAGCAGTCTGAAAAGTACAAGTAAGCTTTTAAGGGCAAGATTACTGTTTTGTTGTCTGATACAGTGGTCCAACTATTGCTACTTCTCCTTGTCCTTACCCTACGAAGCAGCTAAGTACTTGGAGAAGTTAGGGAAAACGGAATTCCCACTTATACTTCACAAACCTGAGCACAGGAACCCAAGCACAACCAACCTGTCAATGTTCTTGAAAATGTTGCACTTGCTGTCCTTGGCTGTGAGCTGGAAAGCCAGTGCGGTGTGGTGGCTCTCCAGGACAGCGGTGTCGTTATAGAGCACGGCGAGTTCACTGCCTGCATTGCACAGGAAGGAGTTGGTCCTTCCTGGGTGATCCACGTCATGCACTGTGGCGGCGATCAGTGCTGCCACCTCATCCAGCTGATCAAGGCTTCCCTGGGGCCACGGGGAGGGAAGATTGAACGTTATCCACTGGATGTCAGAGACCTACACGCCTGTCTGACCCTCAGGAGGGACAGGATTATCAGAATATTTTCTTAGCCTGATGAGCCTTCTCTGACTTTCTAGAAATTGAGAGGCTACCTAGGATATGCAGCATAGTGGAATATCTGGGGGGAAACCGACATCTGAGCTGTGCCGTATGACAGATATATTAAAATGGATGCCTAAATCCTGGCACCCACTCACTCCAGTTCTTTCCAGGAAGAAGCCAAACAGGCCTTTTCAAATGCTGGCCCGGGGGTATTGCTATGACACTTCCCCATGGGTGGAGAGAACACAGAGTGGCCTACGGTCACAAGTAGTACTTATTTTATGTGCTTACTTACGCAAAGAATGAGAGAATGGCAGTAAATGGCACACATACATCAGAACTCTTCACACAGAGGTAAAAGGATGCGAACCAAGCAGTACAGGAGAACCAAGGACAAGAAAAAGAATTTCCCCAGGACAACTAAGGTTAAGGCAGCTCTCGCAGTTAAAAACAAAATTCAGCTCTAAGCTAGCAGGTGGCAAAGGCAGAAAGGGAGACCCTCTTTCTTAAGCTCTTGTTATGTAATCTGAGAACACAAACCAGAGCATAAGGGCATCCAAATGTTTTCCCAGGTTACAGCTTTAGGAGGAGGTTATTAAATGGGCTACTATCACGTACGAGATCCTATACCTTAGGACTTCATTCAGTTAATCTTTTATTACAGGCTTCCTGGGCTCTAGTTAGTAGAGTGCTGGCACTATAATGATGAACTACACTGGCATGCCTTCTGCACTGATGGGGTTGACAGGTTAGTGGGAAAGGCACAAATCACACACACACACACACACACACACACAGAAGTAAAAGTAACTAAATCTCTGAGCTCAAGAGCCCCTTCCAGCCCAATTCTCCAAGGTTCCTTGCAGTTCTACATTTTCTGCCGAGACTGTCAGAATTAGAAGATGTCTTTGGAATTGTAAGTATATGAAAGCCTTAGCCTTGTTTCCAGGGCGACTTGAGCAATTCAATCAGATTCTGAAGACACTAACAGAACTCACAATTAAAAGGAGAATTCTTAGAGGAGGGAGAGTAAGGAAGATGACAGGGTGACCAAGAACTCCCTGACTCATCAAGCATTTAATCTCTATTTTTCTAGAGTGGTTCTGCTTGAGTGAGGTTAATCTCCAACTCTGGACTGCAGGGGCTGCCAGCACTTTGGTCTTGGCATTCGTGCTTGAGGACTTGTCCTGCACTGGCCGTGTGCAGCCTCAGCGGGGCAGTATCTCCTGCAGTGTGTGGTGCAGGACTGTGAGCCCGGAGTAGGGAGCTGGAAGGCCCGTGGCTCCTCCCAGAAGGGGCTATACAAACCTAGGCTCACGTCACCTTTCTAAACCGTAGGTGATAAAGATCTTCAAAAGCATCACTCTTGGACCACATTCTTTACTTTGTTGATGATGAAAGCGAATACCAAGCTCAGCTTTTGTCTGATCAGCTTTGGCAAACTCTCCCCATTTTGGTGCCACTTCTGCTCCTTCTAGCTGACCCACTACCACTCTTCTAAGTACCCAGGGTCTTAAGAATAAAGAAATGATCTCATGTCAGGCTACTGCAAATTGATACAAATTTCAGTCTCTAGATAGCAATTCTCCCAGGGGCGTCCACGTTCTAAGCTTCAGTTCTAATTGTAGCAAAGGAATTACAAGCTTAATTACGAGCTTCACTGTGCCCCAAGTGATGGTGGATGGGAAGGAGGGGGGAAGGGGATCTCTTGCCAGCTGCACATGGGGGTACCCAGGGCTTCCTATAAATCAGCCCCTGTACGTGACACCACTGACTTCTAAGTAAGACTGAGGGACGGGGAACTCTCTCAGAATTATGTAAGTCATCAGTACAGGATATACACATTCACACCTACACAAAACACACACATACATGTATGATCAGCCGAATGTGGGATGGCTCCTTACTGTCTGGATTATAATATGCCATTGGCCAAATTCTGATCCTAAAATGTCACCTCTAGACCGAGTAACCACTTGCTCTAATAATCCAGTCCTGTCCTCCCTCCCTCACAAAGGCCTCCTTGTACGTGGAGAATGGGTTCATGAATCAGCCAGCCATGTAAAGGAATCTCTACAGTGACATCAATTATTACTTTAGGCATTTGCGGGAGGGGAGAGCCGGGAGAAGAGGCCATGTCTTTACAACATCAACATGACCAGTTAATTTGATCACTCAAAAAACTGTCAGATTGGTTGCAGTTTATATATATATATATATTAGCTATTTGCCTTATATATTTAGTAAGATTGAGCTCCTGGACCTCCAATTTAGGCAGGTAAGTAGACCATGGTATCAGAATTCTACCTTCACTCGTTCCTTTCCGAGGAAGAAGGCAGTGGCATGCAGGACATCGGCGGCATGGGTGGAGTTATGGTAGGCATTGGAGGAGTGGTAGTTGGCTTCAATCAGTTGGAGCCAGGAGCGAAGAGTAGTTTCAGAGCAGTGTAAAAATTCACAAACTCCAAACCGAGAAAATACCTTTAAGCCCAGGTAAACCAATGGCCTGGAACACAGGAAAACAAACCCTGATTCATTGTATCCACTGGTCTAGAAACTGCTTTCTTTGATGACACTGGGGAATAGAGGCATTTTTCTTTAGACGTTTTTACTTCACATGCACAAGGGCATAAAAGTATCTCCTCCCCAAATTAGAAGGAGAGAGAACATCAGTCACCTCTTTACAAGTAGGTGCCTCAGGCGATCAATACATAGGATTTCTAGATTGTCTTTAAGTCATATAGCCTTCGGTGGTTTCAGCAACCAAGATAGATCCCTGATAGTCCTTCCCCATCTCTACTTCCATATAAGCTCTGCACTTCCTCTGTGTCCCCTCAGGAAGTTACTGAGCCTAAGGACAGTCGTCTCTGCAAAGTCCTATCATTTACAGTCACATTACATATGTACAGGTAAGAATCATTCACATCCTATACACCAACAGCGCCAGAAGAAAGCCTTCTCCTACTATAGAAGAGGCCCTTCTGAGTTATTTAATTATTTCCCTGCCTCCCGGATAGATCCAAAGTCAAATCTGTACTGCTCTCAAACTCATTTTGTAAGGTGGAACTTCAACAGTTTGGAGCTGAGAGTACTTGGAACTCTTGGCTCACTAGCACAAAGGAATGACCTGGATAAATCTGAAAAGGACACACAGTAAGTCCTCATCCTCGGTCATCATCAGGCTAATCCCACATCTTACCAACTCTGTCTCCATAAAGGAGCTCACTCAGGGGCCACAGTCTCTCTGCTTGTTCGACATTCCAGCATGGCATGACAGGTAGAACCTGTGAAGTTTCTTGTGGCAAGAACTCACGTCTCCCTCAAAGTTTCCAGATGTGAAAGTCTTGAGCGTGGCCATCGATCTTTCCCCACCTGCAGCCAGAGAAGCCACATACCTTTTATGTGTAACAGCTTCCAATTCAAAGATGTTGAACTCCCAGCTTTCTTCGTTATCAAGTAATCGAGCGATACAAGGGGGGACATCGTTGATGGTTATTGGCATCGCAAGGTGACTGTGACTCTGGTGCACATCTGAGCAAACAGATGGGGTTGGGGAGGCTGGTTAATTGCAGAATCTTGAGTGCCCCTGAGCATCTGTCATCGTCTTCATGGTTGCTACTAGAAAGGAAGTCTTGAACTTCTAAGGGTAGGAAGATTTTTCACTTCAGGGTTCTCTTACATTATGAAACTTCCAGATCCCCCAACAAAAAATAAAAATAAAAAAATCATCCCATTTAACTGTCTGTTTAAATGTACAGAGATGTGCAATTCTAACTCAGTGCTCAAAGAAGTAATACTTTAATGAGGAGACCTGGTTTCAAATGAAGACACTTCTCTTCAAATGAAGAGACTGTGAACTCCAATGAGACTAAGAGAAAGTAACACCAACACCCTCCCCAAACAATAATCCCAACATGGGGCAAGGCACAAGCTGGAGACTGGCCATCACCATAATGGACAGATGATAACTTACTCTTAGTGAACACATACTCGTTTCCTGACAACCTTCTCAAGCCATCCTGGAATAAAGAAAGCTACTATTAGAAGCATGCTTTCCATGCTCTTAGCATTGTTCTCTTATTTCTTCCATTAGCCTAAGAGACCTTCATCCTGAACAACCCAATCTGGAACTCCAAGTTGAAGCTCAAAATTAAATCAGAACAGTATCTACAAGACAGAGGATATTCTCCCTTCCACAGCTATTAGCCCCAGGAGATGGAGAATTGAGAATAAAGTGGATAGGACTTCATTCAGGTTTCACACCTGACATCTGAGTTGCCTTCGTTCTCACTCCATCTTTGTCTTCTGGCTTTTTGAAGTCTCATTCGTGCAACTGCAGAAGGGTTCTGCTTTTGGATGTGGGTTATTTTGAAGGGACCCCACTTACCCTTATAGGGACGATGTTATTCTTGTGTTCTTACATTTACATATTGGGGAACCAAAGTCTTGGGCCACATTTTGGGGATGACTTAACGTAAAGATGTAAAAAGGGTGGGCTGATTTTTGACTAATACCTGAACTTTTTCCAACTCTATTTTCTGTTTTGCAACATGGGCATTGCAACTAGCCTTTAAAAGAAAAGTTTCTGGATTTGAGATCTTTGAGGGGGGGGCAGCATAAGGGAGTGGAAAGAATTCCAATGATCTCCATTAGTACTAGGCTCTTGAACTAGGCCCCAGATGTTTCTGCATCTGTTTCCTTCCCTCTGCTTTCTACCCTTGAGTACCTAATTATTTAGATCTTTGCTTAGAAGTCGTAATTGTCTCTCTAGAAAGTGTGTGCTAAGGTTTGAAGTATTTTTTTTTTAAAGATTTTATTTATTTATTTGAGAGAATGAGAGAGGGAGCGAGCGAGCATGAGAGCGGGGAGGGTCAGAGGGAGAAGCAGGCTCCCCGCCGAGCAGGGAGCCCAATGCGGGACTCGATCCCGGGACTCCAGGATCATGACCTGAGCCGAAGGCAGTTGCTTAACCAACCGAGCCACCCAGGCGCCCTGCTAAGCGTTTTAAGTATTAATGAAAAGGGGCACTCTGGTGGCTCAGTCAGTTAAGCCTCCAACTCTTTTTTTTTCCCCCTAAAGATTTTATTTATTTGACAGACAGGGAGAGGCAGAAGCAGGCTCCCCATGGAGCAGGAAGCCTGACCCGGGGCTCAATCCCAGGACCCAGGGATCATGATCTGAGCTGAAGGCCGACGCTCAACTAAGCCACCCAGGTGCCCAAGTCTCCGACTCTTGATTCCTTCTGCCCCGCCCCGTCACGTGCTCCCCCTTCTTTAAAATAAATAAATAAATAAATAAATAAATAATAAATAAATAAATAAATAAATCTTTAAAAACAAAGTATTAATGAAGGGCTTTCCTGAAGTCACACCTTGGATCTTTAGGCCAAGACCTTAATTTTTAAAACTCTATCAATAGGCAAATAACTGGCTCCAGCTGTCTTGTTGTAAGGGAGGTATCACAAGGTACTGCTGGATTTTTTTTGCCTTTCTTTTTCTGGTTCCCTAAAACCAAATAAAGGTAGGTAGAATCCTACACTGGTTCCTCACAGCGTTACCTGCAGAGGAACCACAAGATGGTACGCCAACAGGGGGAAGGAGGACAGGTAACTGGATTCCGAGAACCAGAATGCTCCCAATGCGACTCTGCTGTGGCTGCCCCCCTGCAAGACCCCCGCCAACCCTCTCCAGCACTAAGTCTACACTGCACTGCGATGGGACAACCCAGGCGGCCCAGGGACAGGAAAGCACCGAGAGGTCACTCCGATTACAGGTTCATTAAAGACCTTCAGCAGGAACAAGGAGAATGGACTACAAAGCCAGTCAACCCAGCATTTGGTGACAGGGCTGGACAGAGTCTTCAAAGTAAAACACATAGATGAGTTTGTTTTCCTCCCAAAGAATTCTTCCAGTTTCAGCCTCTGATAAGGATTACAAATGAATAATTTGAATTTTTTCCTTTTTCTTCACTTGCTGGTGGATGATGATGACCACCAAATCACAGCAAAACACAAGAACAGATGAGTCCTTAGACATCAGCTGCTCTTGGTGGTTACAGATGGTGGCGGTATTGGCCTGCTGGCAGGGGGTGGATCCCTCCTCCCCTCACCCTATGGAGCCAGAACAGCTCAGCTCTGCCTTTACTGGATTGTAAAGGGAACTTCTATATAAGCTTTGATTTAAAGAACGGATTCTCTAAGATTTTGGGAACTAGTGCTCTAGTCTAAGTACAAATGCTTTCATGATATAAAGAGTCTGCAGTCCAAGGAAACCTCGCCATAACTCTCAATCCAGTACTGCCCCAGGTCAAGGGGAGGATGTGCATACTTCACCCTCAATCAGCTGCCTACTACTCTTTACTGTAATGAGGATTCTGCAGGACTGTCTCCCATTGATGTGGTCAGTTAGCTTCATGGAAAGATAAATTCAAGAATTCCTTGAATTATACCACACATATAATACATAAATTTTGATACAGATGCTTCTGGTTATGCTGACATTAGCCCACACAACAGGTGTTTCTGCAACTATAGGCACCAGTTTCTATGTTACATGTTCTGTGTACCCTGGAGGGCACTTCATGTCTCTCCCCTGCATTTCTGGGTTTTCCTCATCACTCACAGTCATCAGGCCTCCAACGAGATCACTGGTGTGGGGATCTTCATCTTTGGTACCCAGCTGAGGGGAATACAGTTCTGTGGTCCGTAAAATTTCTAGAACTCTGTCCAAGGCTTCTGCTACTGTAACAGGGCTGTTCTCTTGGGCTGCATTGATGATATTTATAACCTAAGGAAGTAAAGAGAGAATGAATAAATTTGAGGATATTAGGATTCTAATTCCCAGAAGTTAAACGTATGCCTGGAAATGGTAAGAAATCAGATGGTAACACATTTTATTGTTCAAAATGATCTGTGTTTCCACACAACCAGTCCATTCTTCCTGCGGTGTGCCCTTCATCCTCCCTCTCCTGGTGGTGCTCCTAACTTGGATTTCTTCCAGCTTCTTTGCTGATCCTCCTCTAGCTCTCTTCTACAGGTTGGACCTCCTCAGAGATTGGTGCTGGGCTTTCTCTCACTCCCCAGTCCTTCCAGAGATAAGCTATTTCCATGATTTTGGACCCATATGATCCATATGTTAAGGACCCTCAAATTTACATCCCTGTCTCAACTCCTTTTTGACCTTCAAGTTTGTATATTCAACGGCCTATGTGATGTATCTATTGAAATGTCTTACTTACATGTCCAAAACTAAATTCATGATATTGCTCCCTTCTCCCCAAAGCAAGCAAGTGAACAAATGGAACAAAAAAATCAAAGACAAGAGCTCCTTCTCTGGTCTCTACACTGGAGCAAAAGAAAACAACACTTTTATCCACTTGTCCTCAAACCCAAAACCTGGGAGGCCCCAACTGACAAACAGCTTTCCCCATTTCTCTGTCCACTCTCCTAGTGTCACTCGTCACTGAGTTAAATGGATTCTACCCCTAAATATTTCTTCATCTATTCATTTCTATCTCCACTGCTTTAACTCTAGTCCAACTAACACCACTTCTTGGCCTAGAATTCTGGAAAACCCCTAACTGGTCTCTTCTCTTTCATTCTTGACATTTCTAGTCCATTCTCTTCATGGCAGCTGGGTGTTCTTTTTAATAAACATACTTGATCATGTCACTCCCCCACTTGAAACTCTTCAGTGGTTTATTCTGCACAGAACTAAAATATGAACCCTTCCTGGCAGCTCCGTGTCACCATCTTCTCCCCTCCCTTCCCACCCCCAGTCTCCAAGCTCTAGCCATCCATACTTCCTTTCAGGTCTTCAAATACTCCAATCCCTCTTCATCTCTTTGCTTCTTCCCTTGCTGTGCTTGCTGTCCACAATTCTCTTCTCCCACCTCTCCTAACATCCTTGCATGCTTCAGTTCTTACTTCAAACATTATTTCCTCTATAGAGAGCTCTCCCTGATCACCTCACCCAATGTAAATAGGCCGTAATTTAATTTTCTCTTAGAACCCTATTGTATTCCTTACTAATAGTCATTGCAATTTGTAACTACAAATTTATTTATTATGTATTTGTTTAATATCTGTTTCCCCTCCATGGTATTAGTAGTAAGTCACTCATCACTTTATTTCCAGAAGTTAACCCAGTGCTGGGTAACCCTGATTGCAGAGTGGAGGAGGCAGCTGCCACTCACCTTTGTGATGGGAGCCTCGATGGTCATGGAATGGATCCTTGCCATGGATGGATAGCGACGATTCTGTAGGCTTGGTGCTGAAGAGAATAAAGGAAGTCGTATCTGGTTCTGGTTCTGGTGGCTCAGCTTGGCTAAATGCACCAAAGGAACCCTTCATGGACTGATTCTCACAGGAATGCTTCCCCACTGCCCTCCACAAAGCAAAGGATTTGCCCATCTTTTAATCCTAAAAGGCTCAGAGATCAGGCACTACTTGCCAAAGTCTAGAAAGGGTGTTCTGGCCTGGAACCCTGATGGCAGGTAGGTTTGAGGAGTCCCAGTTCCAGAAGGGAAATTTCAGAGAGGGTTAATGGGATCCTGAGGCCCCATCTCACTCTCCCATAAATTACTGAAGCCCAGCTCGGGCAGTTCCTAACTTTCAGTCCCCAGCTGTTGGCCATGTAAGTGGATAACTGCAGTGTGGGAGAGGAAGCAGGGGCCATGGTCAGGGTGGGCGCAGATGAGAGAGTCCACTCTCTGTAGTAATTAGGGCCAGGCACTCGACCTCCCTGCGCCTCTAGGTTCTTAACACCCAGAATCCAGTGATGGTTCTAGCTCTAATCTATAGAAACTTTCATTTTAAATTCTAATTTTAAATTTTATTTTTTTATTTTTAAATTCCAATACAGTTTTAAAAAGTGTTATATTAGTTTTGGGTGTATAATATAGTGATTCAACAATTCTATACATTACTCAGCACTCATCATGGTAAGTGTGCTCTTTATCTCCATCACCTATTCACCCATCACCCCACCAGCCTCCCCTGGTAACCACCAGTTTGTTCTCTATAGGTAAGAGTCTGTTATCTGTTTTTTGTTTTTTGTGTGGGTTTTTTTTGGCTTTATTTGCTTCTTACATTCCACATGAGTGAAATCATATAGTATTTGTCTTTCTGACTTATTTCATTTAGCATTATACTCTCCAGATCCATCCACATGGTTGCAAACAGCTAGATTCCATGTTTTGTATTGTGTGTGTGTATTACATATAATATTATACATATATATTACATGTAATATATATTACATCTTTTTTTCTTTCTACTACATTGTATGTATATATATGTATATATTATATATGATATATACAGTTACATATATATACACATATATTACATATAATATATATACATATATATATTACATCTTTTTTTTTAATCCATTCATCTATCAATGGACACTTGGGCAGCTTCCATAATTTTTCTATTGTAAATAATGCTGCAGTAACCATAGGGGTGCATGTATCTTTTTATATCCGTGTTTTTGTATTTTTTTTTTTAAAGATTTATTTATTTGACAGAGAGACACAGCGAGAGAGGGAACACAAGCAGGGGGAGTGGGAGAGGGAGAAGCAGGCTTCCCGCGGAGCGGGGACCCCGATGTGGGGCTTGATCCCAGGACCCTGGGACCACGACCTGAGCCGAAGGCAGACGCTTAACGACTGAGCCACCCAGGTGCCCCAGTGTTTTTGTATTCTATGGGTAAAGACCCAGTAGTGGAATTATTGGATCTTATGGTAATTCTTTGAGGAACCTCCATACTTTTTTCCATGGTGGCTGCATCAATCTGCATTCCCACCAACAGTGCACAAGGGTTCCTTTTTCTCCACATCCTCACCAACACTTGTTACTTCTCATGTTTCTGATTTTAGCCATTCTGACAGGTGTGAGGTGATATCTCATCATGGTTTTGATTTGCATTTCCCTGATGATGAGTGATGTTGAGCATCTTTTCATTTGTCTGTTGACCATCTGGATGTCTTCTCTGGATAAACATCTTCATGTCTTCTGCCCATTTTTAATCAGATTATTTGTGGTTTTGTTGTTGAGTCGTATACTTTTTAAAATGTATTTCAGATACTAATCTTTTATTGGATAGGTTCATTTGCAAACATCTTCTCCCATTCAGTAGGTTGTCTTTTAGTTTCTTGATTGTTCCTTTTCCTTTGCAAAAGCTTTTAATTTTGGTATAGTTCCAACAGATTATTTTTGCTTTTATTTCCCTTGCCTCAGGAGACATATCTAGAAAAATGCTGCTATGGCCAATGTCAGAGAAATTACTGCCTCTGCTCTCTCCCAGGATTTTTATGGTTTGAGGTCTCACATTTCTGTTTTACCCATTTCGAGTTTGTGTGCATGGTGTGAGAAAGTGGTCCAGCTTCATTCTTTTTCATGTAGCTGTCCAGTTTCCCCAACACTATTTGTTGAAGAGACTGTCTTTTTCCCATTGCATATTCTTTCCTGCTTTATCAAAGATTAATTGACCATACAATCGTGGGTTTATTTCTGGGCTCTCTATTCTGTTCCATTGATTAATAGATCTGTTTTTGTGCCAGTACCATAGTACTTTGATTACCACAGCTTTGTAGTATATCTTGAAATCTGGGATTGTGATACTTCTAGGTTTGTTCTTTTTCAAGACTGCTTTGGCTGTTTGGGGTCTTTTGTGGTTTCATACAAATTTTAGGATAATTTATTTGACTTCTGTGAAAAATGTTTCTGGTATTTTGATAGGGACTGTATTAAATTTGTAGAGTGCTTTGGGTAATACAGACATTTTAATAATATTCATTCTCCCAATCCAGGAGTATGCAATATCTTTCCACTCATTTGTGTCATCTTAAATTTCTTTCATCTGTGTTTTATACTTTTCAGAGTACAGCAGATCCTTCACCTCCTTGGTTAAGTTCATTCTAGGTATTTTATTATTTTTGGTGCAATTGTAAATTGGATTGTTTTCCTACTTTCTCTTTCTGCTACTACATTAGTAGTGTATAGAAATGCAAAGGATTTAGGTACATTGGTTTTTTTATCCTGTGACCTTACTGAATTCATTTATCAGTTCTAGTAGTTTTTTGGTGGAGTCTTTAGAGTTTTCGCTATATAGTATCATGTCATTTGCAAATAGTGAAAGTTTTACTTCTTCCTTACAAATTTGGATGCTTTTATTCCTTTTCTTATCTGATTGCCATGGCTAGTATTTCCAGTACTAGGCTGAATAAAAGTCACAGTGGACTTCCTTGTCCTGTTCCTGATTTTGGAGGAAAAACTCTTTTTTGCATTGAGTATGTTGTTACCTGTGGGTTTCCTATATGGCCTTTATTATGTTGAGGTATGTTCTTCATGAATGTAGGTTGTACTTTGTCAGATACTTTTTCTGAATCTATTGACATGATTATATGGTTTTTATCCTTCCTCTTGTTGATATATCATGTTGACTAATTTGCAAATATTGAACCTCCCCTTGCATCCCAGTAATAAAGCCCACTTGATTGTCATGAACGATTTTTTTAATGTACTGTTGAATTCATTTGCTAATGTTTTATTTGAGGATTTTTTTGCATCTAAGTTCATAAGAGATACTGGCCTGTAGTTCCTTTTTGTAGCATCTGTATCTGGTTTTGATATCAGGCTAATACTCTCATAGAATGAATTTGGAAGCTTTTCTTCCTCTTCTATTTTTTTGGAATCATTTGAGAAGAATAGGTACTAACTCTCCTTTAAATGTTTGGTAGAATTTACCTGTGAAGCTGTTTGGCTTGAACTTTTGTTTGTTGGGAGTTTTTTGATTGCTGATTCAGTTTCATGGCTGGTAATTGGTATGTTCAAAGCTTCTATTTCTTCCTGATTCAGTTTTGGGAGGTTCTATGTTTCTAGTAATTTACCCATTTCTTCTAGGCTGTCCTGTTTGTTGGCATGTAATTTTTAAAAATATTCTCTTATAATTGTATTTCTGTGGTATTGGTTGTTACTGGTCTTTCATTTCTGATTTTGTTTTGTTTTGTTTTTTTAAATCTGGCTAGAGGCTTATCAATTTTGTTGGTCTTTTCAAAGAACCATCTCCTGGTTTCATTTTTTCTTTTTTAGTTTTCATTTATTTCTGCTCTAATCTATTATTTATTTCCTTCTACAGGTTTTGAGTTTGATTTATTCTTTTTCTAACTCCTTTAGGTATAAGGTCAGGTTGTTTGAGATTTTTTTTTCTTGAGGTAACTCTGTATTGCTATAAACTTCCCTCTTAGAACTGCTTTTGCTGTACCTGAAGATTTTGGACCAATATGTTTTCATTTTCATTTGTCTTCATGAATTTTCTCGTTTCCTCTTTGATTTCTTAATGGACGCATTTGTTTTTTAGTAGCATGTTATTTAACTTCCATGTATTTATGTTCTTTTCAGCTTTTCTCATGTGGTTGATTTCTATTTTCAGGACTTGTGGTTGAAAAAGATGCATGGTATGACTCTGATCGTCTTGAATTCGTTGAGGTTTGTTTTGTGGCCTAATTGGTGATCTTTTCTGGAGAATGTTCCATCTACACTTGAAAAGAATGTGTATTCTGTTTTAGGATATAATGTTCTGAATATATCTGTTAGATCAATCTGGTCCAGTGTGTCATTCAAAGCCACTGTTTCCTTATTGATTTTCTGCTTGGATCAGTCTATTGATATAAGTGGGTTGTTAAAGTCCCCTACAATTATTGTATTACCATCAATTACTTCATGTTTGTTATTAACTGCTTTATGTATTTGGGTGCTCCTATGTTGAATGCATAATTATTTACAATTGTTCTATCTTCTTGTTGGATTGTTCCATTTATGAAATAGTATCTTTGTCTCTTGTTATAGTCTTTGTTTTAAAGACTGTTTATTTCCTAATATAAGCATCCTTACCCCAGGTTTTTTTTCACTTCCATTTGCATGATAAATGCTTTTCCATCCCTTCACTTTCCATCTGCATGTGTCTTTAGGTCTGAAATGAATGTCTTATAGGCAGCATATAGATGGGCCTTGTTTTTTTATCCATTCCATAGCCTTATGTCATTTGATTGGCGTGTTTAGTTCAAAATAATTATTTATAGATATGTACTTACTGCCATTTTGTTACTTGTTTTATGGTTCTTCTCTGTTCCTTTCTTCTCTTGCTCTCTTCTCTTATGGTTTGCTGGCTTTCATTAGTGATATACTTGAATTCCTTTTTATTTTTTGCATATTACTGGGTTTTTAAAGAAGATTTATTTATTTTAGGGAGAGAGAACATGAGCTGGGGGGGAGAGCAGAGGGAGAGAGAGCCTCTCAAGGAGACTCCCCACTGAGCACAGAGCCTGAAGGGATGAGGGGGTGCTTTATCTCACGACCCTGAGATCATGACCTGAGCTGAAATCATGAGTCAGATACTTAACCAACTGAGCCACCCAGGCACCCCTATTACTGGTTTTTGATTTGTGGTTACCATTAGGTTTATATGTAACATCTTATGCATATAGCAGTCTATATTAAGTTGATGGTCACTTACTATGAACCCATTCTTTACTCCTCCACTCCCATGTTTTAGTTATATGGTGACATAAAAGTCACCATAAAAAGGTCAAGGAAATCTGAAAAACTTCTTACCATCACTGCCTCGAGATGATATCGATTTCACATCAATGGACTCTTTCCTTCTGTTCTTGTATCTGAATGAGTGAGACTCTAAGGATTTCAAATTAGTAATAGACAGTGAATAGTTTTCAGCTTACTTACAGGTGAAATTTAGACACTCCCCCATTATCTAAAGAAAACGAGGTTCCTTTTTAAGCACTACAAAATATTCTCAAACAATAAACCACTTTTTCTTCAAATCATCAACACAAAATCATCAGTCTTATTAATTGTAAAATGATACTCTTGTACCATTATATCATGGTAATAGGGCTTATTACTAAGGGCTTTTTAGTTCCATTAATAAGGTACTTTTTAAAAAATAAACATCAAAAGGGATGCCTGGATGGCTCAGTAGGTTAAGCGTCTGACTCTTGATTTTGACTTAGGTCATGATCTCAGGGTCATAAGATCCAGCCCTGCCTTGGGCTCTGCACTCAGTGGGGAGTCTGCTTGAGATTCTTTCCCTCTGCCCCACCCGCTGCTTGCACACACGCGTGTGTGCTCTTTCTCCCTAAGATAAATAAATAAATCTTAAAAAATATAAACATTAAAAATTGGGGTAAATTTGGGGGGTTCATTTCAACCTGAAGGACAGTACATGTAACTGGGTGGGGAAGGCTTTTACGGGGATATCTGCGGAAATAAAATACTAGTGAAATGTACAGAAAGTTGAATTTATTTGAGAAACTAATATGGAGTAATTTTAGGCCCCTCCAGATGGTCTTCTAGGTTCTCCTGAGGATGTCATTTCGTCAAATGAGACATACTGCCAGTGCCAGGAAGGAAGCGAAGAAAAGGCACGTTTTTAATCCCAACAATTTCCACAGCTTAACTCTCACTTTTGTCCTTATTTTCTGAGTGGGGGGGAAGCACTTAAATTCTCCCTAAGTCTTTGCTGACTTTGAATTTACCGCTCAGAATGTGCTGATCCAAGACCGAAGTTAACCCAAGATTGAAGCACATAGTGCGCGTTACCGGTCAGGACCCAGAGATCAAAATGTCAGGGCAGCAGAGCTGGCTTCAAACATGCATTTGCAGGGCACCGGATGCTTATGGAGTAACCCGGTGGTAAGGAGAGAAACTTAATCCTAACAGAACTTCTTCTTACTGGGCTCAGACAAGAGGCAGACATGCAGGTTCCAGCAGGGAGAATGCATTTCTCAGACACCGATATTCCAAGAAAGAAAAAAAAGTCCAATGTTCATATTCCAAGAAAGAAACAAAAAGATGTAATAATGCTCTTTTAAAAAAGAATTGTCTATCGCTTCTCGGCCTTTTGGCTAAGATCAAGTGTAAAAAAGAATTGTCTATTAGCACCAAAAAAGGTATAAGAGAGAAAGAACAGCAGAGAATAAGCTCCAGAGCCCAACTGCCAAAGTTCAAGTTTCCACCATGCCATCGACTCGCTGTGTAACCTTGGGAATATTATTTCTCTGTGTCTCAATATCTATATCGAGTGGAGACAGTCACAGCCTCTCATTCCCAGGCTGTTGGGAGACGTAAATGAGTTAATCCATCATAGCAGCTAGCCCAGTGCCTGCTACACAGTAAGTATGTAGTTCATGCTGGCTAATAGTATTAATTACATCTGTTCATTTACAAATATACCTTCTTTCTAGGCACAAGTGGCATCATGGTATAGTATTTTTTTTTTTTTTGCTGTTTTCACTTCAAAATATGTCTTAAATACTTTCTTCTGGATCACCTTTTTAACCATTTACTTTAGCGTCCTAAAAAACCTGATTCAATAAAAAAAGTTAAATCAGTAACTAAACTTGAATTATACATTTATACAGCATAAAGTAAAAAGCAGAACTATTATGAAGTTGATCTGAACACCATAACCATATAGCCTTGTCTTAAATGATATAGCGTAAAATAATTACACTGTCCCTTTGCCTCATTTTGTCTTCCAGATTCTGCCTTAATAATTTTCCTGGCCTTGCATAGGAGTTTCAGTGTTTATAAAGACAGCTATGGGTAGTAGTACTTTAAATGACGTTGTTAGGATCATATGGCATCTTTCAAGCCCTGAAAAACTAACAGTGGTCACTTGTAAGACATTTCTTTAAGTCCTCTTCAGGTACTTAATATTCTCACGTTCCTAACACTCATTTATCACATAATAAATTAAATCTAACTTAATAAAGATTTAAGATTACATTCAAGATTACAAATCCTCAAGAATGCCTCAAAATTTAGTTTCTAAATAAAACTGAAGTAGGGAAGTTAGTCTTATGGCTGGCTGGCTGAATTCTAAATCATTCACTAGAAATTATTCAAAGATATCTAATGCTTATTCTTCCTGATTTTATCTCAGCTAAAATTAAGAGAATATAGCAATAGAAATTATTAAAAGTTTGGAGAAATTATTCTTCAATAAAGGCCACTTAAATCAAATGATTCATTATTCATTCTCTCAACAGATGCTTGTGGAATGAATTTAAAAACCAGAGAAAATAAGGATAAAGGAGATTTAAATAAATTTATTCAATGACAAAAAGGGATATAATATCAACAATTTTTTAAAAAATAGCTAACATTTACTGAGCACCTACTCTGCACCAGACATGTGTTCCAATGTTTAAGTATAGAAATTTTCTTATATGATCATTACAACAATTCTGAAAGCTACATAGTGTGATCCTCATTTTACCAGTGAGAAAACCTAAATTTGGAGAGATAACGCAGGTAGCTCAAAGTCAAAGAGCTACTAGTCAAATGGCGGAACGTATGTTTTGTAAGATGAGATGTTTTCAACTTAGCCATGTTCTGTGAGCAATTTTATTGAGTCTATTATGGGCAAGGCAATGCTGGGCACTGTAAAGGATGTGAAAATGCAACAGTTTTTGGCACACAGAAGCTCATAAGTTAGTTAAAATATTACTCTTGCTGTGTTACAAGAAATAAACTAAAACATCAGAGAGCGACAGGGAGAGACAGAGACAGAGAGACAGAGACATAACAGAAGGGATGGAAAGAGAAGGAGCGGGAAGGACAGAATAAGGAAAAGGGTAGGGGAATGGAAGGACGATACCCAACAGTTAAGTTTCAGTTAGATATTATATACACTTTCTCTTTTAGTCTTCCTAGCAACAATGAGATGGACATTGTTAATTCATTTTACAAGCAAAGACACTAAAACTCAGAAGGATCAAATTAAGTCTGAGTATGCTAAAATATGGACCATCCCAGAGTCAAGGGAAGGGACTAAATTAGTAGCTCAGGGTCTAACCTTATGCATTAGTGGTTGGGAAAACCACTAACAGAGCAAAGAATGTCATGCATGTATGCAGGAACAAGAATTTTAAATCTTTGAGAGCAGACTGGTTTTTCCCTCTAATGATCAGAGACTTCCAGACCTTTCAAATGCAACAGTCATCTGGTCTAACCCACATTTGAGGGTAGAGGAAACAAAGGGTCAAACAGAGCACTGCCCAAGGTATAAAGCGAGGAGGTAGGGACTGAAGTGGTGCCTCAGTGCTCTTGACTTCCCAGACAGGGCAGTCCACCCTTTCTAATCATCTAGTCACCCACAGCTACGAGGGAAGGGTAGACTAACCAGGGTACAACAGTGGTCTCCCCTGGACTTCTGGGCCACTCTCTCTTTTGGGTTTATTTGCTCTACAAGGTCTCCAGCCAGCAAAATAAAACCAGGATGGGGAAGGCATTCAGTAGAAAAGGTTGCCATGAATCAAGAGTCCAGAGTTTTGAAGGGATTCTGCTTTTATTCTGGCTCTCTCCAGCCTTCCAATATCAGCACTCAGATTTTAGTAATCCAAATTCTGGGGTGGTGAGTGTCAATCTAGACTTCTTCAGAGTAATTTATAGACTTGAACCCACCAGTGCCACTGGAGTGTGTAAGAGTGAAAATGAAGTATTCTCACCTGTCTGAGAATTGTCTCCTGAATCACGATGAACCTTGTGAAGCTAAAGTTGTTCAAAAGTTTGGTGAAAGAAGAGAAAGAAATTTTAAATATGGTATTAGCTACATTTCCAGCTGAACAATTTCATTAAAAAAGCTCTGGAGATTCAAGAAATCAAGAAGTTACACAGATAATATGAACAGATGAAAGATGATAATACTACAAATGCTCTATTACATTCAGACACATATAGAATGCCCGAGCCTGAGAGCAAGGAGATACCCAAGGGATGTACTTTCTAACCAAGACATCTACATCTCTACTCAGCTGCTTCCATTTTGACCACTGCAGAAATACAGAAAGACAAAAATCTGTAACAAATTTTTTATAAGGCTAATATGTAACCTATTTAGATTTCAGACATGTTATAAAATTTTTCTGTAGGATAAAAGTAATCTGAATTTAAGCTTAGGATTTTTAAAAACCTCTCTAAAAAGCTCTTCAAGTGTTCCTCAACTATGGACAGTCGATTTACAAAATGTTTATTCACAAAGGGATATGAACTTTGGATGCAGCTTAACACCTAGTTCCTTCTCATTATCAAATTCTTTGTGTCCTAAGGATTTTATGTTAATGCTCAATAAATATCTGTCAAATGATCAAGTCATTAATACTAGAAAATAATATGCTTTGGGATTTTGCATTTTTTTCCGTTTATAACTAAGACACTGTTATTGGGGTGCATCTAGCTTATATCACACTTATAATCATGCTCCTTTGCTGCTAAATCATCTATTTCCATTTGCTTAGACAATCCAGTCTTTGTACCTACTCAGTGAAAGGGATAAGTTAACTTGAAAAGCAAGACAGGTGACTGTATAGTGCTACCTCTGAAGGAAGGTTAGTTTGGTTTAGCAACACCAACTGTAATCGCCAGAAGTTCCCTATGTATCAGATAACAGGTACAATGTTCCAGCTTGATGCAACCATTGAAAAATAATTACATAAAACTGAAGCGTTAAAGAAAGGGGGCTTTCTATGAATCATTCCACACAGTCCGGGCCACATAATTACAGAGACAATTACATGGCCGGCCTGGGTGAGATCTTGGTCAAAATGTGACTAAGGGCTGTGACACATTTATCCCATAATTATGGGACCTTGTTATTTCTTCTGTGAACAACTGTTTTATGTTTTTTCCTTTACAGATAAAGACCATTTGCTACAAAGCTAGTAAGTGCAGTGTGAATTTCTGATACTATACCAAATGAATACAACTTCTGCCTTGCAAATTGTTTTCTCAGTCAGCTTTAGCTCAAAACCAAGTAATCTTTAAATACTTACTTTTCTCTCTGAATCACAATACATCTCTCCTTTAGGAACAAAGTCCTATGACTTTGCTGCTTATCCCCAAAAAGCCCTTGTCTTGTCTTTTGTTGACCCCCCAGAGGCGAGCCGAATGACCTGTGGAGCTCCTACGAGGTCAGCATGGGTTTTGGGTTCTGTCTAGATGGAGCCCGATGAAGCCCAAGGGCCAGCAGATACACAGCCCAACCCTGCCTTTCGGATGGCAGTGCCGTGGTCCTGGCCAGGGAGAAGAGGAACAGGGGAGGAGAAGTGAGAGGTGCCAGGTCCCTCTGCTGAGGGAGCTTCCCATCTGCCTTTCTCCACATAGAATGTGGTATTTGGCGCTTTTGGAGCTGAACGCACTGCACCCCCTCCAAAACCCAGGCCCCTGAAACGGCTCATCTACCTCTGATGGATTCTCTCCTCCGCACAGGAACAGAGCCTGGAAGTAACGCCTTGATGTCACTTGCTTTACAAGCAGAGATTTCACAGGGCCATGTCAGCACCTGCTGCCCAGGACCCCGTTTCCTGACTCACTTCCTGATCCCCTGTGGCAGGAGCAGCGCCTGAGGCCCTCTGCTGGTCACACCCCAGCTGCGCTGGGTTTTCTCAGAGCTTCGGGCTCAGGTTCTCTCCATTCCTCTTCGGAAGACCACCTCCTCCCCCGCCCCCTTTACAACTGAGGATTCACTTGGATGAAAACAGTCTTTAACAATTCCAACTTTTTTCTTGGAGGTCTAAACCCACCAGTCATTTATAACTGGCCATGAACGATTCCACTAGAATTATTTTCTCACATTTCTCATCTGTGCTGTCTGAGGAAGTCAACAGGGAAGGAGCTGCTCTGTAGTCGGCTGTTCTCTGGTAGGCAGCCAGGGGGGTTAACTGTGGGGCAGGGAGAGAGACGGAGGGGCTATCCGTGACAACAGCACCATCTCTTACGGCTCTGCCACGTGCTGGCACCTTCACATGCGCCATCAGGCTGGTCAGGACAGTACCCCTGCGAAGGAGCAAGGCCAGTCATTCCTCTGACAGGTCGGGAAGCGGAGGTTTCACTTGCCTGAGCCTCCCAGCTAGTACTCGACAGCGCCCCATTTCCAACCCTGATCAGCTGGCTCTAAAGCCACTTCCTGTTTGTCACACTGCTGTCTACAGGGAGGACCCAGGAAACTCTGGGCCCAGGCCTGTGAAACTGGGGTCTGAGGACAACATCCTCTGTGTGAGAGCAGGGCAGCCATTTGGAATATAATTTCTTTTGAAATTTTGGGGAAGGCTTGAATCTCTGCTATCGAGAGGTTTTGTCACATGTATGCTAAAGCAAAGCCAAGCAATCATATTTCAACGTCCCCATGTCAACCACTGTCTGTGGAGTGTTTGTTTTTCCTTTTGTGAAAGAAAGCTTAAAGTGCTAAATGTGTCTACATGAAGTCATGACTGGGAATTTGGATCCGTGTGTCCCTGGGGAACCCAACACTTCTGCGCTAGTTCCTACAACGTGAATACCTTGGCCTGCACTGCTCCTGCCAGAGCTCAAAGCTGGGAATTCTTAGCAAGTCCTTAGAAGCTTACACCTTGTTTGGTGGTGGTGGTGGGGGGGGGGGTTAATTTATCATTTCAAACCTTTAATTATTGAAAATGTTATAGGTTCCCACAGACGTTGCTATCCTTGTGCTAAATGCTTTGTTTATAAAAACTTGATTATGCTTGGCTCTAAAAGGCCCTACAAATTCTGGATTTGTGTGTATGTGTGTGGGAGAGAGATTTCAGGGTCATCTGTTTTCCTCTTCAGGAATAACCATTTCAAATTTTTATTTTCTCTACACACCCACCACAGTGTCTTAAACTAAAAAGAAATTCTGTCAAGGTTGTGGAAAAGCTGGAACTCTCACACCCTGCTGCAGAGAACAGAAAATTGTACCATCACTCTGAAAACAGGTGTGGCGGTTACTTATAAAATCCAACATACACCTACCCTATGACCCAACTCCTCAGTATTCAGTTCAACTCCTAAGTATTTACCCAAGATAAACAAAAGCATATGATGTTCCCCAAAAGACTTCTCTAAGACTGTTCAAAGGAGCCCAAAACTGGAAACACCCCAGAAGTTCATCTATGACAGAAATAAACTGTGGTCAACTGATACAATGGAATACTATTCTATTTAGCAATAAAAAGAAAAAGGGAAAAAAGTACTGATATATACAACACAGATGTATCTCACAACATGGTAATGAATCACAGAAGCCAAATGTAAAAGCGTAGACACGGTATGCAACTCTAGGACAGGCAAAACTCATCTGTGGTTAAGTATTCAGGACAGTATTCCCTTTAGGGGTGGGAGGGGTAGGAGCAGAGGTGGGGATAACAGGCAAGGCCAGGAGAGAACTTCTGGGGTGGTAGATTCAGGACCTTCAGGGGGCCTGGGTTACAGAAGTATGTGCATTTGTCAAAACTCAAGTAATGCTATACCTAAGATCTGTGCATTTCACTATATATAACTTTCACCTAAAGAATGAAAAAACCTGGAAACAAATATTAAACTCTAGTTAATTAAAGTGCCAAGGGGTGAAATGTCCTGATATGTGTAACTTAGTTTAAAATCTATCAAAGAATAAGATGGGCTGATGACTAAATCAAGGATAGATGGACAGATAGATGATTGAGCAAAATGGTCATTACAGAACATAGGTGGTGGCTACATGTGTATCTACTTACAATGCTTCTGACTCTTCTATAGGTTCGAAAAATTTCATAAATGTGGGGAGATTATATATTTAACTGAGAATATGGAAGGATGGCTAAAAATTGCAAGCCTGAACTATAATTTAAAAGTCTGTAAAAATATATAGGATGAAGGAAACTGAGAACAACTTGAAACTGAGCAAGGTGAGTTACATGTCATGGTCCCTGGGACTCCCAGCCTACCATGAGCCTGGGCATGAAAATGATGTTCCACTTCAAACCATAACTAGTGAATTGTAAATAGCAGCAGTCTTAGAAGCATAGATTTACCTGGTTAACTATTTAATAGATGGATTTTAATGTGTCACTGACTGATTTTATGAATTATATAATTACAAACGAACCTAAATTCTCCTACATTTTGTGAGAGAAAAACCCTGAGAAATAATTATATGAAAACAACACTCTTAATACAATATGTTAAATTAATTTTTTGAAACTGTAAAACCATGAGACTTTTTAGCAGTTAAAATGAGTCAAGGCTAGGATCAGTGCAATACTTAGTAAGCAAGCAAATAAATACTAGATAACTCCTTCAACCTTCATTTCAGAATCACACTGGGAATGTGAACAGCATTTGGTAGAAATGTCTGAGGGAGCTTTTGTCATTATGGAATGGCCAAGTCATAAAAAGCACCTGTCTCAATTCAAATCACCAGATTTCCCAGTACATAAGCCTGGGGGATGCTTCTTTTTCTCTCATCCGCATACCTAGTCCACCATCAAATCCAGGAAAATCTCCCTTCTCAATACCTCTGGGATCACCCCCTTCACCTCTCTCTACTGCCAGCGTGCAGATGACCGTCAGCTCTCCTCTCACCTCAGCCCATTCTCAACTCTTCAACCAGTGTAACCTAAACTACATTTAATCCTGTCATCCTTCTGCTTAAAACTCGAACTTCCCATTGGTCTTAGGGTCAGCCTCTTGAGACAGACTGGCTGTGGGGCTGTGCACTGTGGCCTGGTCCCTGCCTC